CCACAGCCCCCCTTGGAGCCCTCACAGGAGCCACAGCCCCCCTTGGAGCCCCCACAGGAGCCACAGCCTCCCTTGGAGCCCCCACACGAGCCGCCGCTGGAACAGGCACAGGCTGGCACACAGCAGCACACGGGCTTGCAGCAGCACACGGGCACACAGCAGCTGGAGCCGCAGCCCCCACAGCTGGAGCCGCAGCCCCCACAGCCGGAGCCACAGCCTCCGGAACAGCCACAGCAGCCCATGGTTCTGGTGGGTTGTGGGCGGAGTGGGTCAGAGACGCAGGTGCAGAGGGGAGGTGTTCAGGTGTGGAGCCTCCTGGGCCTGGGGTTTTACGTACCTGCCGGGGTCAGGTCAGATGCTGGCACAGGGTCACCTCCCACTGGCTGTGGCTGCACTACTTTCTGAAGTTTCTAAATGTGATGTCTTCCACTCCCTTGGTCCCTATAATTTGAATCCCAGCTCCTGCCTGCCTCTTCGTCCTGGCATTCCTAGGAACTGGTCCCAGCATGGCCAGGGCTAGCCGGTCCCACTTCTCAGTGGCTGCTGCTTGGGAAGAGGCCCGTGGCCGCAGTCAGTGGGGCTCATCTACTCAGTGCCCAGAATCCACCTCCTTTTTGCATATTTAGAAGACTGTGAATTTCCAATTAATTTTAGACTAATTTTATTATTTAGTATTTTAAAATTAAGTTTCAAATTTATTATTATTATTTTAAGCTTTATTTATTTATCTGGAGAGAGAAAGAGAGAGTGAGGAGCAGAGAGAGAGAGGGAGAGAGGGAATCCCAAGCACTGTCAGTGCAGAGCCCGATGTGTGGCTCGATCTCATGACCCTGAGATCACCACCTGAACCGAAACCAAGAGTCCGACGCTCAACCAACTGAGCCACTCAGGTGCCCCTAAAATTAATTAAAAACATATTTTTTCTAACATTTATTTATTTTTGAGAGAAAGAGACAGAGCGCGAGGGGGAGAGGGACAGAAAGAGAAGGAGACACAGAATTGGAAGCAGGCTCCCGGCTCTGAGCTGTCAGCATAGAGCCTGATGTGGGGCTCGAACTCACGAACCGTGAGATCATGAGCTGAGCTGAAGTCGGATGCTCAACTGACTGAGCCACCCGGGCGTCCCCTAAAATTAATTTTTTAATCAAAGCAACCAACACATAGTTTTAAAATTCTTTACCATTCTCTTAAGGAAACAGTACTCCCGCCGGGCCTCCGTCCTTGCAGGGCTGTGTCCTCTACCCTGAGGCCAGACGGGCTTCTGCAGCCTGGCGCCTGGAGGCAGTATCTGCCGCTGCCCGGGGCTGCCCCCTGCCCAGCTCCCACACCCTACTGCCACTCGTGTCCCCACTTGTGGGGGGTCTAATGGGCGCCTGGAACGTCCCGACCCACCCAGAGCCACGAGGTGCTCACCTCCCCCAGACCCGCCGCCCCCACCCCTCTGCCTTCCGAGTGTGGCCGCTGGCTAAGCCCTCAGAAGCCCTGCTCTGGTCTCCCCAGGCCGCACGCGTGTGCAGACCCGTCCTCACACTTTGCCCGGTCCAGCCAGAGTTCTGGAGCGCCTCATCTGTCCACCACGGCAGCAAGAGGCACCTCGTGTGATTGCTGGGCTGGCTGGTCTTCTGCACACGTTCCCGGGCCGCTGTTCCCCCGTCTCCACGGGCTGCAAGACCAGCCCCTCCGGCCCCCTCGGCTCCTGTGTGTCCAGCTACGCGTCCCTCCCACACCCCAGCCCGTGCCTGTGGCTTCTGCCCTTGCCATCCCTACGTGTCCTCACCTCTTTCAGACCCTTGCTCAAACGACAAGGTCTCGGCAGGGTTCTGCCTCCAGAAGTGTTGCCATTACCTCGCTCACCCCCTGCTCTGCCTCCCCCTTCCTTCCTTCCTTCCTTCCTTCCTTCCTTCCTTCCTTCCTTCCTTCCTTCCCAGTTTATCCATCATGTTGATGTTCCAGTTACTCATTTACCTCTCTCTCTCTCCTGCCTCCCCCGCTGTCCCCAGACCTAAGCTCCGTAAAGCATGAACATTTCATTCACCTGCCTTCCCCGTGTTTGAACAGTGTCTGAGGCATAACAGGAGCGCCGCAAATTCGCCGAATGGATTCAGGAACGTTCGCGGGGCTTCAGGACAGGAGACAGAGGAGCACGTGTCCGGCATCGACTTTTGAACAAGCTTGTCTTTAACGGAGTGCGCCAGCCTGACGGTCAAATGCACAGATCACAGGCACACGGATCGTGACATCATCACAATGTGAGCACAGCGAGGTCCCCGCCACTCGGGTCCTGATACTAAACGACTCCCACCCCGAATCCAGAGCCTGCCACCCCCTCTCCGAACATCGCCCCGTCTCTTCAAACACCTGCTGTCCTGACTGGTGAGTCCAGAGGTCAGCTTTGCCTGCTCTTCATCTTCGAAGATGAAGATGAACTTCATCTAAGTGGAACAAGGTGGGACGTGTCCTCTGCTGTCTGGCTTGTTCCCAGCCCACGTCGTGTTTGTGAGGGTCACACCGTTGGCCACAGCTGAAGTCCTTTTATTTTCATTTCTTAATAGCATTCTGTCGTCACCGTTCATTTATGTCTTCCACTGTCAAGGGGCACTCGGGTCCACGACGCTCCGGAAACGTTCCTGCGTGTGTCCAGCCAGGTGTGCATCTGGGCGCATTTCCGGGTGCGCCCTCGGAGTGGGGCGGCCGAGTCACGGGACATCGTCCAGCTTCAGTGGGTGGGAGCAGCGTGTGAGCCACGTGCAGGAGCACTGACGGCCTCCCGTCCTTCCCTGAATGTGGGGTCGCCCGGCTGGCTCTCGTGCCATGTGTGTGACTATCGTTCTCTGCTTTTACTTTGCGTTTTTAACGAGGCAGAGAACCATTTATTGTGTGTACTGGTCGATTAGAAAAGTGCCCGTTCCAGGGTCCTCCTCATGCCTCTCTATTCTCTCTCCATCTTTTCATTTTCGTTACCGTTTTGTGGCAGCTCCCTGCTTACCCTGGAGCGTCAGCCCTCGGAGCCAGCCTGGGGACAGACGCCGGCTGGCACTGCCTGTGTGACCCCTTCCTGGGCGCCAGGCAGGGCACAGCACAGGTCATTGGCCCTGTTCACGCTGTGCTCGGTGTTTTTGTCCCGGTTAAGAAATCTGTGCTCAGTGTTTGATTTGCAGGTTACTTATTTTTCTATCCTTTGCTTTCAAGGTTTCTGTGTTTTTATTTCTAACGTGTGTCTCTTATATGCGGGGTTAAAAAAATATTTTTTTTTAAGTTTTAAAAAGCAGCCTGTCAAGGACATTTGTCCTCTAACTGGGTATTTGGTGTGCTTATATCTGATGTCCACTGTTTGGGCTTAAATGAACCTTTTCACTATTTGCTTTCTGTGGGTTCCCTCCCTCTCCATTGATCCAAAACTTAATTTTTACTCTTTCCCACCTGTGAGGTATCAACCTGATTTTAGGGTGCTTTTCGGGGCTACCCTAGAGACGAAAATGCACATTTCTGACTCACAAAAATCAAGTCAGAGGTAGTTATTTTACCGTTTCCACGCGTGGCCGAGGACAGAGGTCCTTTGGGGCTGGTCCTCATCCCGCACGGGTGCTTTCCACATTGTGACTCTCATTTAAAGTAAAATTTAACCCCCCGCTGTCCGTTATTACCTTTGCTCTGTGGAGTCCAGTTCTCTGTGGATTCACCCACATTTACCCTTTCCTCCTCAGTCTCCTCCCTGCACCTTGGAGCCGCCGCCTCTGTTGGAAGAAAACCACCCCCACTCCATCGTCCCTGCGGCCTGGCACGCGGTTGGTGACCCCCCTGCAGTCTTTGTTGTCTGGAAATATATGTACTGGCCCCGCAGTTCTCAAGGATGTTTTTGCTGGTGTGAGTGTTCAGGGCAGGAGGTGCACGAGGCAACACGGCCAAAGCCCTCAGCAAACCGGAGCCCAGCAACGTGTCAAGAGAATGATGCGCTCTGATAAGCCGGGCTTTATACCAGGGATTCAAAGCTGGGTTAACATCTGAAAACGAATCGATGTGATCAACCATGGGAGCGGAACAGGGGAGAAAACCCACCTGATCTTACGGAGAAATCACAAGCGAGCATTGGACAAAATCCGATGCCATTCGTGGTGAAAACAGACAGACACCCCTCAGCGCGATGAGACAGAGGTCCGAACTGAGGGGGCCACGTTCCCGACCGCAAGCCAGCCAGTCAGACGGCAGGCGGGGTTCACGGCCACCGCGAGACGGAGCAGGCCGTGGTCCACAGCAGCGTGTGCAGGACCGCGGCCTTGAGCTCCAGCCCCGCAGGGTCTCGTGCGGGGCACCTGTGCGTGCCTGGCGCCAGAGGCCCGGAACGCGGAGGGTCTGCAGCGCCTCCTGCAGGCAGGAAGCGTGTCTGCACCTTGTTGGGGACGAGACCTTGTCTCTGCCCTCCCAGGCCGTCGGGAAAGCGGGGCTCAGGCTGGTGCCCAGCTCACGAGAGGTGCAGACCTGCAGGAAACCCGCGGCCCACCGAGCGTGTGCCCCGTGAGCGCCCGGGAAGACCTGCCCCAAGCATCCTCCACGCGGTACAAGACGGTGCGCCGTGCCCGAGATCAGGGGCAGGGACGATGCCCAGGATCGCCACTCTGTTGAGGCTGAGCCTCTAGATTTGTGGAAACCCTGCTGGCATTTCAGTGGAACCACGGGCCGCGTAGATAAACGTTGGGAAACCGGGTCTCCCCAGAGCGAGCCTTCCGGTCTGTGTGAGGCTGCTTTCCGTTCTTCAAGCGCTCTTTAATTTCTCTCGGAGGTTTTGTGATTTTCACTTTCGAGGTCTGGTGCACCTTTTGCACGATTTACACTTCTAGGTACATATGCGATTTTGGGGGGATGAATTATAAATGATTTTGATTTTTAGTGGAATTTTCAAACTTGTTTAGCGTTTAAGGAAAATTAGCTTCATAGCGACCTTTTATTCAGTGACCTTGCTAACTTTACCTCCTTGTTATAATGCTTAATCTGTAGATTATTTGGGATTGTCTCTTGTGTCTGTCCACTTATTTTTTTCGACCGCGTCCGTGAGACACTACGGTCTGCCCTCAAAATCAGTGCTTTTACTCCGACACGGGAGCTGGGAATAGGACAGCGGCCCCCTGACCCTGGCGCCCTCCCGCTGGCTCGGGGACGTGGTCATGCGCTTCCCCTGTGCCATGTGTAACCCCCAGAGCCACAGCTACTGGCCCCCGAAGCGGGCACTGTCATGGCAGAGCGCCACGGGTGGGGGGCCCCGACCACGGACACTTATTTCCTCTCTGTTCTGGAGGCTGCTGGTCCAGGAGCAAGACTGAGTTCTCTCCGGCTTACCCTCCGCCACCTCTTCACCGTGTCCACACACGAGCTTCCCGTGTGTGCAGAGGGGATGCGGGAGGCCTGGTGTCTCTTCCCCTTCCTATAAGGACACCAGTCCTGCTGTGTCTGGGTCTCACCCTCATGGCCCCATTTACCCTTCATTGCCTCCCTGGACGCTCCCCGCCCCCCCCCCCCCATACGGCTGCACTGGGGGTTGGGGCTTCAGTATCTGAACTGCAGGGGGGCATGATTCGGTCCCTAACAATCCTTACTCTTACATTTACGCTTTCCAGGGTTGCTCATTCCTTCCTGTACATCTGTGTTTTTATGGGGTTGTTTTCCTTTGCCCCGAGGATCTTCTTTCCACATTTCTCGAAGTGTGAGTCGGCTGGTGACCACATTTTTTAGCTGTGCTCACTCTGAGGTTCACACAGGGATGTGGGCACGAGGGGCGCAGGCCTTACACAAGCTCCGAGGGAGAGGTGAGCCGCCGGATGGGATGACCAGAGGGTGCCAGCGTCTGCCCCGGTGACTCTGTTGGGCCTCCTGGGAGCCAGCCAAACGGGCGTGAGATTTAGGGCTGGTGCAGCCCAAGCAGGGGACCCTGCACCCCCACACTTACATTCCATTCCAGGGGTGCCGGAGCCACAGGGACCCCAGGATGGATGGGCCAGCCCGGTTTCGTCCCAGGTGATATAATTCCCACAACTGGTGCTGCTGTAAATGCCCGCCACACACTGTGGTTCTCAGCGCCATGTCCACGGTGGGTCTCACTGTGCCAAAGTCGCCGCATGTGAGGGCCACGCTCATTTGTGGGCCCTCCGGGGGAGCATCCTTCCCCTTATCTTTTCCAGCCCCCAGGCGCTGCCTGCTTCCCCTGGGTCACGACTGCTTTCTCGTCTTCCGAGCCAGCAGCAGTGGCCGGAAAAGCCCTCACGCCTGCCAGCTTTCTGCTCGTGACTCTTCTGCTTCCCCCTTCCCTTGTCAGGACCCCTGTATCAGGTGACCCAGTCCGGTTTCCCCAGGCTCAGCTGAAGTCCCTTTGCCATGTAGCCTAACATCCGCACGGTTCTGGGGTTAGGAGAGGGCGTCTTGGGGGGACACATCCTGCTACCATCGTCTCAGCCAAGTGGAGGTGACAGGAAGACTAGCTGGCTATAGAGTCTGCGGGAAGGGCCACCGAATCCAGCCCCAGGCCCAGCCTCCAGGACTGGCTCCCCGGCTCTGCACCTGGACAAGCGTCATGCCCATCGATGGACAGTGGGACGTTGCTGATGTCACCTCCCGGGGTCCCAGACGCCCTGGTGCTTCTGCCTTACTGGCTTTCCAAATATCACAAGAAAGCAACGACAGGTCGAACCTGATTACGCCCAGAGCCAGAGCTTCTAGGGCAGCAGGAGGATGCTTTCTGCCCCCATGCAGCACGGAAGGAGGATGGAGACTCTGTTGGCCCCAACCGTCCCAGTTCACCGCCCCCAAAGGGAAAGTCCCCCAGCCGGACAGTCACGGGCACAGGACTCGAGTGCCACATCCTGCCTTGGAGCCCGGGACTCTCCGCCCTCTTTATCATGCCTCAGAACATCCCTCGCCAAAAGCTCGGTGGAGACACTCACGGTGGGAGGCAGCTGGAGACGTGCATGTAAGGAGGCCGTGCCTGGTGACCTGGCAGGGCCCCCTGGGACCCATTTCCAGGGAGATTCCTTGTTCATCCGTACGCAGTGAACAGACCACGGCGAAAGAATCGCACTGTGAATGAAATCATTTTGTGGCCACAGAGATGATTTTATTGAAAGGGAATTTTATTGTATTTTAACAGAAACATATGGTGACAGGTCAGGAGGCAGCCCTGCCAGACAGGGCTTTGTTGGTGAAAGGAGGAAGCTCAGGGGTGACGGGGACGGTGCTTTCTCGGACTGGGGGAGCCAGCAGTAGATGTTCCTGACCAGTCAGTGGTGGGCCCTGGACGTGGGTCAGTGCCTACAAATGACCACTTGCACATTACAGGACTGCTGCTCAGCATTAGCCTGGGCCTTCCTCTGGGTGAGAATATCTCAGGCGGACAGCAGAGGGGGCCAGAGCCACGTGTGTGGAATGGTGTTTCCGGTGCAGCAGATGGGGACACGCAGGGGAGAGACGAGTGCAGGGGTGATGAGAGGCCTTCCCAGATGGTGCAGTTGGAAGAAGTTAACTGAACACTGGACTGGCCGTTCCCTCAGCAGACGGGGACACAGCATCTGGACTGGCAGTAGCCACAGGAGCCACTTCCCCCCCTTGGAGCCCCCACACGAGCCACAGCCCCCCTTGGAGCCCCCACAGGAGTCACAGCCCCCCTTGGAGCCCCCACACGAGCCACAGCTGGAACAGGCACAGGCTGGCACAAAGCAGCTGGAGCCGCAGCCTCCGGAACAGCCACAGCAGCCCATGGTTCTGGTGGGTTTTGGGCGGAGTCGGTCAGAGACGCAGGTGCAGAGGCGAGGTGTTCAGTTGTGGAGCCTCCTGGGCGGGGGGGCTTTACATACGCACCGGGGTCAGGTCAGATGCTGGCACGGGGTCACCTCCTGTTGCTGGTGCTTCCCTGGCTCTCTGTCCCTCCTGTTCTCCTCCTTCCCGGAAACTGCCCGTTCTCTCACCTGCTGTGTGTATTCTTCAGGTCAGCCATCTGGTCTTGGGTAGAGGCTTGTTTCTGTGCTCACAGTGCTGGGCCCTTCTCAGATGCTGTTTGGCCATTTCCCAGGGTCACGAGAGTGGGCGCCCTCTTCTCAGTGGGGCCGGGGATGCAGCCCCCTCTCAGCCTCCCTCTGTCCCCTGTGGGGCCCCACGTGGAGCCTGGGGCTCTGACTGGAGTTATCCCCCAGACCTGCTATGCGCTCAGGAGAGCTGGGCCCTGTGAGTCATGGACGGACGTGAGGACGGTGTGAGTGCGGAGCCTGCAGCTTGTCGAGAGAAGACAGGTGTGCCTCCTGTCCAGCTGGGCCATGTGGGCCTCTCCTGAGCCCGTGTAATGCAGGGCGCCGGTGGTCGTGCGTCCAGCTGGAGACTTCACGGCCAAGACCCAGGGTCGGGTTACTGGGGCGCCATCCCAGTGACCTCAGGCTGGTGCACATGAGAGGGGTGAACGCTGGGCATCTGGTTAACGGCAATCATTTTTCAAGACGGGAAGCTGCCTGGTGACCGCAGTAAAGAAGGCTGCACCAGAAGGGGATGGGGGGAGGGGTGAAGGCCTTCTGCTCGTGATCCAGGCACCAGTGGGCTCACTGTGGCTCTGGCGTGGGGCTGAGCAGGGGAGCAGAGGGTGGGGCTCCTTCTGGGAAGGGACTCCTACTCGGTGCACTGGTGTGAGCCTGTGCTTGAGGGGTTGGCCACCTTGAGGAGGTTAGTCAACAGAAAATCCTTTGAAGAGGTGACTCTGGTGAAAAATGTTTGGAAGGACATTCCATGTGGAGGGAAGAGCTGGTGCGAAGGCCGTGAGGCAGGGAGGGGCCTGGGGTGTTTAGGGGCTGGCTGTCATGGTATGTTGTCCAGCACTCGCTACCTCAGGCTCCGGAGGCGGGAAGTGGACACCCTGCAGGTGGGAGCAGGGCAGGCGGTGGCGGCGGGAGGGTGTCTCTGGGTGAACCTCAGAGTGAGGCGTCCTGAAGATTCGGGGGGAACCTGAAGGAAGGGCATCCTCCTGCTCTGCTAGGCTCATCACATGCCAAAGTGGGGAGGTGGGAGGGAGGGCACCACACCTCCCAGCCAGCGCAAAAATAGGGAAGAAGGGAAAACTGAGTGAACCTTTGAGTCCCAGCCCTGAGAGGTGCCCCCGGCTGAGGCCCCACTGCCCGACCTTCCCGCTGTGGGGATTCGTTTTTACACAGAAGGGCCTCCATCAGGCATCTGCCCCTGGCCGCATCCCTGCTCTGTGCCGTCACTGACAGCCCCAGTCAATGAGCTGGGGAACGTGCCATGTTGTTCTGTCCCGTGGAACAGTTTCTGTGCAGGGAGGTGTTAAGTTCCTTGAATGTTTTCTCAAAGTTTTTTTAAAATATCCTGACCTGGTTTTTTGTTTTCTTTTTCTTCTTCTTCTTTTTTTTTTTTTTTTAAGCACACAAGCCACAGGGTTAGTGCTTTACTTTTTGGATTTTTCAGTAAGAGTGTTTATCCTGGAGGATGCGGATTCTGTGCCCGATGGCTTTGGGGCAGGGGGTTGGCATCTTGTGTTCTGTGGGGTGGCAGGCCACGTGTGGCGGGGCCTTGGTTTTATCAGGCCGGCCACGAGGGGGCGCTGTATCAGGCAGAAGCATGGCTCTTGCCTTTGAGGAGTTAGGCTCATTTAAGCATCACCTTTTGATTTGAAGATCTGTGTGCTTCCTCTGATTTCGGAGGCCCAATTCAGAAAGTGTGTGTATATATTATAGTTAATAATTGGAATGAGAAAAGAGATCACAATAAATCAGACATTTAAAGAAGATGGCGACGACCACACACGCGGCCAAATCTAGGAAAATAACATGATTTTATCGAATTAATTGCCTGAATTCTCCGCCCTGCCCCATGTTCCTTTTTTCCATTATAGTTTGTGGCCAAGTTCTTTCTGTTCACTCTTCATATGACAATTTTATAATTTTATTTTCGTTAAAATTTTTTTAAAAGTTTATTTATTTTGACAGAGACAGTGAGTGGGTAAGGGGCAGAAAGAGAAGGAGAGAGAGA